GAACAAGGCTACTCGCCTGGCTTACCACTACCTACACAATACAGCTTTACATCTGACCTGACCTCACAAAATCAGTCTAGATGGCTCCTCTTACATTTCGTAAAATTGAATTTACTAACACATCATCTAATCTAAGCATTTCTTCATTAAGATTCATAGTGTCATACTTTTTGATCAAAGAGCACTGTACAAACAGTCTGTTAAAGTGACAAGTGTATTTTTATATATATTGCAGAGTCAAGTGTACTTTTCAAGAATATACGAGATCAATCATCACATGAATGAGTAGGATAATTCAATAGTTTAACTTTTATGAACTTTAAAAATTATAAACATAAATTTTCAAATTGTGACTTTTTTTTTCTAATTCTACTGAATATATTTCATTCTTTAATAATATGACACACAGAAAATGTTTATAGGGTATCCCGCTAATAATAAACAAATACAAATCTTACTAATATAAAACAAACACATCTTGTTTCCTTTTCACACAGACCTAATTACCAACAAAAATAATTTTTATTTTATAAACTAAAATTGGGTAAAAAGAAATTAAAAAGGTAAACTTGCTCTCACCTGGATTTTGCTTGACACAGAAAATTCTGTTAGTCTGCTTAAACAGATACGTTAAATTGCAGACAGAAAGACTAGAGGACAACATTTTAAGATACGGACACAGCTAATTTAAGCATTCAGCATACGGAACAGTTTGTCTTCAGGTGTGGTTGAAACTACATTTTAAGATACGGACACAGCTAATTTAAGCATTCAGCATACGGAACAGTTTGTCTTCAGGTGTGGTTGAAACTACAACATTTTAAGATACGGACACAGCTAATTTAAGCATTCAGCATACGGAACAGTTTGTCTTCAGGTGTGGTTGAAACTACATTTTAACATACGGACACAGCTAATTTATGCATTCAGCATACAGAACAGTTTGTCTTCAGGTGTGGTTGAAACTACAACATTTTAAGATACGGACACAGCTAATTTATGCATTCAGCATATGGAACAGTTTGTCTTCAGGTGTGGTTGAAACTACAACATTTTAAGAGTTTAAGAAGAGATAGAGTATTTTAGAAATCGGGCTTGGATACAAGAAAAGGAGATTTACTTTATGTAGTTTAAATAGGGCATTAATAGAAAGCAAGCTAGCCTGGAATGACCAAATGATCTATTGAAACTGAAATACAGACCTAAATATTAAAGACAGTAAGCTTTGAAATTATAGATTAGGTAAAACTACTTTTCCATTAAAAATGGCTTGCTTGTTGAAAGTTTAAATTTGTCCTTGCTCATTCTTACAGTGACACAACCTGCTGCTGTCTTTTCTTTATCACTTTGTTCATTCCTACAGTGACACAACCCTGCTGTCTTTAATTTATCACCTTGTTCATTATTACATTGACACAACCCTGCTGTCTTTAATCTGTCACCTTGTCCATTCTTACAGTGACACAACCTGCTGCTGTCTTTAATTTATCACCTTATTCATTCTTACAGTGACACAACCTGCTACTGTCTTTAATTTATCACCTTGTTCATTCTTACAGTGACACAACCCTGCTGTCTTTAATTTATCACCTTGTTCATTCTTACAGTGACACAACCCTGCTGTCTTTAATTTATCACCTTGTTCATTCTTACAGTGACACAACCCTGCTGTCTTTAATTTATCACCTTGTTCATTCTTACAGTGACACAACC